CTCACCAACCCACTCACCCACTCACTCACCAACCAACTTACCCACTCACCCACTCACTCACCAACCCACTCACCAACCCACTCACTCACCAACCCACTCACCAACCCACTCACTCACCAACCCACTCACTCACCCACTCAATCACCCACTCACCCATTCACCCACTCACTCACCAACCCATTCACCCACTCACCAACCCACTCACCCACTCACTCACCAACCCACTCATCCACCAACCCACTCACTCACACACACACACGTCTCTCTCACCCACTGGCTCCTCACCACCCTCACCACTCCTCCCTGTGTCTCTGTCTGCGCAGCTTCAGACGAGCCCGCTGGCAGACCGTCTGCGCTGCAACAACGGAGACACGGTGCGACGTCTCCTCGGCGCTGGACGATCCCGGTGACCGCTACCTCCTCCGTGTGAGATTCTCCTTCTCATCCTCGCCGTCACGATCCTCACCCTGGGTCGCGGTTGTGGTCCTGCCCTTGATGGAAAGTGAGTGGCACGAGATTGTACATATGCCTGTGTCTCTGTGTGTGTGTCTCTCTCTCTGTGTCTCTGTGTGTGTGTCTCTCTCTGTGTCTCTGTGTGTGTGTCTCTCTGTGTCTCTCTCTCTCTGTGTCTCTGTGTGTGTGTGTCTCTCTGTGTCTCTCTCTCTGTGTCTCTCTTTGTCCGTGTCTGTCTGGTGCTCACTAACAGCACTTGCCCCAACGGTCTTTTTCAGGCTACACGGAGGATCTTTGTCATCTTTGTCTGTGTGTGTCGCTGTGTATGTCTGTGACTCTTTCTGCCTGTGTGTGTGTCTTCGGCTCACAAGGGGAGATCACACAAACTCCACTCACTCACTCTGTAGGACAGGGGGAGATCACACAAACTCCACTCACTCACTCTGTAGCACAGGGGGAGATCACACAAACTCCACTCACTCACTCTGTAGGACAGGGGGAGATCACACAAACTCCACTCACTCACTCTGTAGCACAGGGGGAGATCACACAAACTCTACTCACTCACTCTGTAGGACAGGGGGAGATCACACAAACTCCACTCACTCTGTAGGACAGGGGGAGATCACACAAACTCCACTCACTCACTCTGTAGCACAGGGGGAGATCACACAAACTCCACTCACTCACTCTGTAGGACAGGGGGAGATCATACAAACTCCACTCACTCATTCACTCACTGTAGGACAGGGAGAGATCACACAAACTCCACTCACTCTGTAGGAGAGGGGGAGATCACACAAACTCCACTCACTCTGTAGGACAGGGGGAGATCACACAAACTCCACTCACTCTGTAGGACAGGGGGAGATCACACAAACTCCACTCACTCACTCTGTAGGACAGGGAGAGATCACACAAACTCCACTCACTCACTCTGTAGGACAGGGGGAGATCACACAAACTCCACTCACTCTGTAGGACAGGGGGAGATCACACAAACTCCACTCACTCTGTAGGACAGGGGGAGATCACACAAATTCCACTCACTCACTCTGTAGGACAGGGGGAGATCACACGAACTCCACTAACTCACTCTATAGAACAGGGGGAGATCACACAAACTCCACTCACTCTGTAGGACAGGGGGAGATCACACAAACTCCACTCACTCTGTAGAACAGGGGGAGATCATACAAACTCCACTCACTCTGTAGGACAGGGGAAGATCACACAAACTCCACTCACTCACTATGTTGGACAGGGGGAGATCACACAAACTCCACTCACACACTCTGTAGGACAGGGGGAGATCACACAAACTCCACTCACTCACTCTGTAGGACAGGGGGAGATCACACAAACTCCACTCACTCACTCTGTAGGACAGGGGGAGATCACACAAACTCCACTCACTCTGTAGGACAGGGGGAGATCACACAAACTCCACTCACTCTGTAGAACAGGGGGAGATCACACAAACTCCACACACTCACTCTGTAGGACAGGGGGAGATCACACAAACTCCACTCGCTCTGTAGGACAGGGGGAGATCACACAAACTCCACTCACACACTCTGTAGGACAGGGGGAGATCACACAAACTCCACTCACACACTCTGTAGAAGAGGGGGAGATCGCACAAACTCCACACACTCTGTAGGACAGGGGGAGATCACACAAACTCCACTCACACACTGTAGAACAGGGAGAGATCACACAAACTCCACTCACTCACTCTGTAGGACAGGGGGAGATCACATAAACTCCACTCACTCTGTAGGACAGGGGGAGATCACACAAACTCCACTCACTCTGTAGGACAGGGGGAGATCACACAAACTCCACACACTCACTCTGTAGGACAGGGGGAGATCACACAAACTCCACTCGCTCTGTAGGACAGGGGGAGATCACACAAACTCCACTCACACACTGTAGAACAGGGAGAGATCACACAAACTCCACTCACTCACTCTGTAGGACAGGGGGAGATCACATAAACTCCACTCACTCTGTAGGACAGGGGGAGATCACACAAACTCCACTCACTCTGTAGGACAGGGGGAGATCACACAAACTCCACACACTCACTCTGTAGGACAGGGGGAGATCACACAAACTCCACTCACTCTGTAGGACAGGGGGAGATCACACAAACTCCACTCACTCTGTAGGACAGGGGGAGATCACACAAACTCCACACACTCACTCTGTAGGACAGGGGGAGATCACACAAACTCCACTCGCTCTGTAGGACAGGGGGAGATCACACAAACTCCACTCACACACTGTAGAACAGGGAGAGATCACACAAACTCCACTCACTCTGTAGGACAGGGGGAGATCACATAAACTCCACTCACTCTGTAGGACAGGGGGAGATCACACAAACTCCACTCACTCTCTAGGACAGGGGGAGATCACACAAACTCCACACACTCACTCTGTAGGACAGGGGGAGATCACACAAACTCCACTCGCTCTGTAGGACAGGGGGAGATCACACAAACTCCACACACTCTGTAGGGCAGGGAGAGATCACACAAACTCCATTCGCTCACTCTGTAGAACAGGGGGAGATCACACAAACTCCACTCACACTGTAGAACAGGGGGAGATCACACAAACTCCACTCACTCTGTAGGACAGGGGGAGATCACACAAACTCCACTCACTCTGTAGGACAGGGGGAGATCACACAAACTCCACTCACTCTGTAGAACGGGGAGATCATACAAACTCCACTCACACTCACTCTGTAGAACAGGGGGAGATCACACAAACTCCACTCACTCACTCTGTAGGACAGGGGGAGATCACACAAACTCCACTCGCTCTGTAGGACAGGGGGAGATCACACAAACTCCACACACTCTGTAGGACAGGGGGAGATCACACACACTCCACTCACACACTCTGTAGAACAGGGGGAGATCACACAAACTCCACACACTCTGTAGGACAGGGGGAGATCACACAAACTCCACTCACACACTCTGTAGAACAAGGGGAGATCACACAAACTCCACTCACTCTGTAGGACAGGGGGAGATCACACAAAGTCCACTCACTCACTCTGTAAGAAAGGGAGAGATCACACAAACTCCACTCACACACTCTGTAGAACAGGGGGAGATCACACAAACTCCACTCACTCACTCTGTAGGACAGGGGGAGATCACACAAACTCCACTCACACACTCTGTAGAACAGGGGGAGATCACACAAACTCCACACACTCTGTAGGACAGGGGGAGATCACACAAACTCCACTCACACACTCTGTAGAACAAGGGGAGATCACACAAACTCCACTCACTCTGTAGGACAGGGGGAGATCACACAAAGTCCACTCACTCACTCTGTAAGAAAGGGAGAGATCACACAAACTCCACTCACACACTCTGTAGAACAGGGGGAGATCACACAAACTCCACTCACTCACTCTGTAAGAAAGGGAGAGATCACACAAACTCCACTCACACACTCTGTAGAACAGGGGGAGATCACACAAACTCCACTCACTCACTCTGTAGGACAGGGGGAGATCACACAAACTCCACTCACTCACTCTGTAGAACAGGGGGAGATCACACAAACTCCACTCACTCTGTAGAACAGGGGGAGATCATACAAACTCCACTCACTCTGTAGAACAGGGGGAGATCACACAAACTCCACTCACTCTGTAGGACAGGGGGAGATCACACAAACTCCACTCACTCTGTAGGACAGGGGGAGATCACACAAACTCCACTCACTCTGTAGAACGGGGAGATCATACAAACTCCACTCACACTCACTCTGTAGAACAGGGGGAGATCACACAAACTCCACTCACTCACTCTGTAGGACAGGGGGAGATCACACAAACTCCACTCGCTCTGTAGGACAGGGGGAGATCACACAAACTCCACACACTCTGTAGGACAGGGGGAGATCACACAAACTCCACTCACACACTCTGTAGAACAGGGGGAGATCACACAAACTCCACACACTCTGTAGGACAGGGGGAGATCACACAAACTCCACTCACACACTCTGTAGGACAGGGGGAGATCACACAAACTCCACTCACTCTGTAGAACAGGGGGAGATCACACAAACTCCACACACTCTGTAGGACAGGGGGAGATCACACAAACTCCACTCACACACTCTGTAGGACAGGGGGAGATCACACAAACTCCACTCACTCACTCACTCTGTAGGACAGGGAGAGATCACACAAACATCCCTCGCCATGACCCCCCCTCTCCCGTGTCTCAGCTGTGCTCAGCGCTCCGTCGTTCACCCTGAGGCTCGACAAACTGACGCGGGGGGAGGAGGAGGAGGAGGGCGATGGTGGTGAGGATGAGGATGAGGAGTGCGGTGTTGTGGGTGACGATGAAGACAACGACGATGATGGCTACAGCGACAACGACGACGGCGATGACGATGACCGTGACGGCGGTGACGATGACCGCCGTGATGACGGTGGTCCTGGGGTGGCTGGGGAGTTGGAGGCGGTGGTCGACGGAGAGCCGGAGGTGCGGAAGCTATCGTTGTTGGTCTCCGTTGGGCGGGGGTGGAGGGCGCTGGTGTCGCACGACGTGAAGTTCCACCATCAGGTTGACATTTCGACAAGAGGCGGCGTTCAACTCACGGTGAGAGATTGCGGGAGTTGTGACGGGGGTCGGTAGGTTGTGGCGGGAGATGTGCGTGGTTGAGTGGGTGGGTGGCGATGCTGCTACTGATGATGATGATACTACCAATGACACTACTACTGATGATGCTACTACTACTGATGATGATGCTGTTGCTGCTACTACTACTGCTGCTACTACTGATGATGATGATGATGCTTACTGCCAGGAGCGCTTCATCGGATGCCGGTACCAACACCGAATGATGCTTCTGCCGGGACGCGAGGATGAGTACTGCGTCCGCGTGAGAATGGTAGCCGACTTGCCACGGTGGAAGGCAGGGGAGTGGTCTCCACTGTCGTGTGTCTCCGTCCCTCCACCACACAGCACCGTGGGTGAGTGGGTGGCTGGGTGAATGAGTGAGAGGTATTTTTGTGCGTGTGAAGTGGGTCTCTGTGTGAGTAGTCTTGTGGATCTCTATGAGTGGTCTATGGGTCTCTGTGTGAGTAGTCTTGTGGGTCTCTGAGTGGTCTATGGGACTCTGCGTGAGTAGTCTATGAGTTTCTATGAGTAGTCTATGGATTTCGATTTAAAGCTTTCGTGACTGCAAGGATTCATCTTTGGTTCTTTCGGTAAAGTCACCACGTAGAATGAGAATAAAATAAATTGATAAAATAAAATAACACAATAATATTCTCACGACGTTTCGGCCACAACACAAGCGGCCTTCATCAGGTGAAGGGACGAGACTGTCTGGAGGACAGCGCTGGAGCGAACACGAGGACAGCGCTGGAGCAAACACAGCCACGCTCAGACCAGCGCTGTCCTCCAGACAGTCTCGTCCCTTCACCTGATGATGGCCGCTTGTGTTGTGGCCGATACGTCGTAAGAATATTATTGTGTTATTTTATCAATTTATTATTTTATTCTCATTCTACGTGACTTCATCGAAATTACCAAAGAAGATAGTCTATGGGTCTCTATGAGTACTCTATGGATCTCTGCGTGAGTAGTCTATGGGTCTCTATGAGTAGTCTATGGGTCTCTGTGAGTAGTCTATGGGTGTCTGTGTGAGTAGTTTATGGGTCTCTATGAGTAGTCTATGGGTCTCTATGAGTAGTCTATGGGTCTCTATGAGTAGTCTATGGGTCTCTGTGTTGTCTTCCCACCCAGCCCCTCGTGTGGGTGTCGACACGGACGGCCAGGTCACGGCGGTGGTCGGCCAGAAGGTGGCGCTGCTGCGCTGCGTCCTGTGGGGTGCGGCCGTGGTGGTGGTGCAGGCCAACTGGCTGAAGGCCTCCCGTGGCAACGTCTGGGCGGGGGCCAATTTGGCCGCACTCAGCCCGCTGCACGGCACGACGTACTCCAACTCGTCCCTCGCGGGCCGACTGCGGTTCCGCGTTGGGGGGCCTCCCGGCGACGTCTCGCTGGAGCTGCTGGACGTGCGGGCTGGCGACGGGGGCCTCTTCCTCTGCCACGTGGCCACCTTCCCCCACGACAACTTCGAGGGGAGGGTCAACCTCTCTGTCATCGGTGAGGATTGACACTGCCCCACGCAGAGACCCATAGACTCATCATGCAGAGACCCATAGACTACTCACGCAGACACCCATAGACTACTCACACAGAGACCCATAGACTACTCACACAGAGACCCATAGACTCACACAGAGACTCATAGACTACTCATACAGAGACCCATAGACTACTCACACAGAGACCCATAGACTACTCACGCAGAGACCCATAGACTCATCACACAGAGACCCATAGACTACTCACACAGACACCCATAGACTACTCACACAGAGACCCATAGACTACTCACACAGACACCCATAGACTACTCACACAGACACCCATAGACTACTCACACAGACACCCATAGACTACTCACACAGACACCCATAGACTACTCACACGGACACCCATAGACTACTCACACAGAGATCCATAGACTACTCACACAGACACCCATAGACTACTCACACAGAGACCCATAGACTACTCACACAGACACCCATAGACTACTCACACAGACACCCATAGACTACTCACACAGAGACCCATAGACTCACACAGACACCCATAGACTACTCACACAGACACCCATAGACTACTCACACAGAGACCCATAGACTACTCACACAGACACCCATAGACTACTCACACAGAGACCCATAGACTACTCACACAGAGACCCATAGACTCACACAGAGACCCATAGACTACTCACGCAGACACCCATAGACTACTCACTCAGAGACCCATAGACTCAAACAGAGACCCATAGACTACTCACACAGAGACCCATAGAATACTCACACAGAGACCCATAGACTCATCACACAGAGACCCATAGACTACTCACACAGAGACCCATGGACTACTCACACAGACACCCATAGAATATTTACACAGAGACCCATAGACTACTCACACAGACACCCATAGACTACTCACACAGACACCCATAGACTACTCACAAAGAGACCCATAGACTACTTACACAGGGACCCATAGACTACTCACACAGACACTCATAGACTACTCACAGAGACCCATAGATTACTCACACAGAGACGCATAGACTCATCACACAGACACCCATAGACTACTCACAAAGAGACCCATAGACTACTTACACAGAGACCCATAGACTACTCACACAGACACCCATAGACTACTCACACAGTCACCCATAGACTACTCACACAGAGACCCATAGACTCATCACACAGACACCCATAGACTACTCACACAGAGACCCATAGACTCACACTGAGACCCATAGACTACTCACACAGACACCCATAGACTACTCACACAGACACCCATAGACTACTCACACAGAGACCCATAGACTCATCACACAGAGACCCATAGACTCACACAGAGACCCATAGACTCACACAGAGACCCATAGTCTACTCACACAGAGACCCATAGACTCATCACACAGACACCCATAGACTACTCACACAGAGACCCATAGACTCATCACACAGAGACCCATAGACTCACACAGAGACCCATAGACTCACACAGAGACCCATAGTCTACTCACACAGAGACCCATAGACTCACACAGACACCCATAGACTACTCACACAGAGACCCATGGACTCATCACACAGACACCATAGACTACTCACTCAGAGACCCATAGACTACTCACACAGAGACCCATAGACTCATCACACAGACACCCATAGACTACTCACACAGAGACCCATAGACTCATCACACAGACACCCATAGACTACTCACACAGAGACCCATAGACTCATCACACAGAGACCCATAGACTACTCACACAGAGACCCATAGACACATCACACAGAGACCCATAGACTACTTACACAGAGACCCATAGACTACTCACACAGACACCCATAGACTACTCACACAGACACCCATAGACTACTCACACAGAGACCCATAGACTACTTACACAGAGACCCATAGACTACTCACACAGACACCCATAGACTACTCACACAGACACCCATAGACTACTCACACAGAGACCCATAGACTACTCACACAGAGACCCATAGACTCATCACACAGACACCCATAGACTACTCACACAGAGACCCATAGACTCATCACACAGACACCCATAGACTACTCACACAGAGAGCCATAGACTCACACAGAGACCCATAGACTCATCACACCGAGACCCATAGACTACTCACATAGAGACCCATAGACTACTCACAGAGAGACCCATAGACTCACCACACAGACACCCATAGACTACTCACACAGAGACCCATAGACTACTCACACAGAGACCCATAGACTCATCACACAGACACCCATAGACTCACACAGAGACCCATAGACTACTCACACAGAGACCCATAGACTCACACAGAGACCCATAGACTCATCACACAGACACCCATAGACTACTCACACAGACACCCATAGACTACTCACACAGAGACCCATAGACTACTCACAGAGAGACCCATAGACTCACACAGAGACCCATAGACTACTCATACAGAGACCCATAGACTACTCACACAGAGACCCATAGACTACTCACACAGAGACCCATAGACTCATCACACAGAGACCCATAGACTACTCACACAGACACCCATAGACTACTCACACAGAGACCCATAGACTACTCACACAGACACCCATAGACTACTCACACAGACACCCATAGACTACTCACACAGACACCCATAGACTACTCACACAGACACCCATAGACTACTCACACGGACACCCATAGACTACTCACACAGAGATCCATAGACTACTCACACAGACACCCATAGACTACTCACACAGAGACCCATAGACTACTCACACAGACACCCATAGACTACTCACACAGACACCCATAGACTACTCACACAGAGACCCATAGACTCACACAGACACCCATAGACTACTCACACAGACACCCATAGACTACTCACACAGAGACCCATAGACTACTCACACAGACACCCATAGACTACTCACACAGAGACCCATAGACTACTCACACAGAGACCCATAGACTCACACAGAGACCCATAGACTACTCACACAGACACCCATAGACTACTCACTCAGAGACCCATAGACTCAAACAGAGACCCATAGACTACTCACACAGAGACCCATAGAATACTCACACAGAGACCCATAGACTCATCACACAGAGACCCATAGACTACTCACACAGAGACCCATGGACTACTCACACAGACACCCATAGAATATTTACACAGAGACCCATAGACTACTCACACAGACACCCATAGACTACTCACACAGACACCCATAGACTACTCACAAAGAGACCCATAGACTACTTACACAGGGACCCATAGACTACTCACACAGACACTCATAGACTACTCACAGAGACCCATAGATTACTCACACAGAGACGCATAGACTCATCACACAGACACCCATAGACTACTCACAAAGAGACCCATAGACTACTTACACAGAGACCCATAGACTACTCACACAGACACCCATAAACTACTCACACAGTCACCCATAGACTACTCACACAGAGACCCATAGACTCATCACACAGACACCCATAGACTACTCACACAGAGACCCATAGACTCACACTGAGACCCATAGACTACTCACACAGACACCCATAGACTACTCACACAGACACCCATAGACTACTCACACAGAGACCCATAGACTCATCACACAGACACCCATAGACTACTCACACAGAGACCCATAGACTCATCACACAGAGACCCATAGACTCACACAGAGACCCATAGACTCACACAGAGACCCATAGTCTACTCACACAGAGACCCATAGACTCACACAGACACCCATAGACTACTCACACAGAAACCCATGGACTCATCACACAGACACCATAGACTACTCACTCAGAGACCCATAGACTACTCACACAGAGACCCATAGACTCATCACACAGACACCCATAGACTACTCACACAGAGACCCATAGACTCATCACACAGACACCCATAGACTACTCACACAGAGACCCATAGACTCATCACACAGAGACCCATAGACTACTCACACAGAGACCCATAGACTCATCACACAGAGACCCATAGACTACTTACACAGAGACCCATAGACTACTCACACAGACACCCATAGACTACTCACACAGACACCCATAGACTACTCACACAGAGACCCATAGACTACTTACACAGAGACCCATAGACTACTCACACAGACACCCATAGACTACTCACACAGACACCCATAGACTACTCACACAGAGACCCATAGACTACTCACACAGAGACCCATAGACTCATCACACAGACACCCATAGACTACTCACACAGAGACCCATAGACTCATCACACAGACACCCATAGACTACTCACACAGAGAGCCATAGACTCACACAGAGACCCATAGACTCATCACACCGAGACCCATAGACTACTCACATAGAGACCCATAGACTACTCACAGAGAGACCGATAGACTCACCACACAGACACCCATAAACTACTCACACAGAGACCCATAGACTACTCACACAGAGACCCATAGACTCATCACACAGACACCCATAGACTCACACAGAGACCCATAGACTACTCACACAGAGACCCATAGACTCACACAGAGACCCATAGACTCATCACACAGACACCCATAGACTACTCACACAGACACCCATAGACTACTCACACAGAGACCCATAGACTACTCACAGAGAGACCCATAGACTCACACAGAGACCCATAGACTCATCACACAGCCACCCATAGACTACTCACACAGAGAC